TTCTGAGCGGACGCGTCGGGAAATTGGAACAGAGAATTGAGACTATTAAAATTTCCAAGACACTTTGTCAAAAAAATTTTTTAGCGAAAAAGTTTCAATTGTCTGTTTCGGCGAAACGCGTAATGGGGTTAGCTTGATTCGACGTTCAAATAAATGAAATTTCCCTTGAAAAGCCTGTTTGGATGTCGAATTGGGCTAATTTACCATTTTCCGCTTACTTTTTAACTTTTTCTGTTTTTTTTAATTTTATTGTATTTATGTTTTACATGTCTAATGATTTGCTTTTCATGTGTATTAATTTTTGAAAACGTCTTAAACCTTTTGGAGCAGCAGCTCTTGGTAACTTTTAGGCGAGCTTTCTACAATTTTTATTTTTTACTTATTTTGCAGCATATTGCGCAAGATGTTTTCTTGACCAAAATTGGTTTTTCAAAAATTGTTATTACTGCTTTGCTTGATATATATATATATATATATATATATATATAAAGCGCAGTTTAAGCGCCACTAACTGAATCGTGTAAACGGACAGCGTTAATTACTTGCTTTAAGTCTGGCTTAGATTTCACAAAAGAAATATCGAGACCAAATGATAGGAATTCTTAGGCTAAAATTACTCGCTTTAACTTACTTCATGCAACAAATGTTCCTAGTGCTTTGTAAATAAATACTAAAAGAAAAAAATTCGATTTAATTCAAAAATAAATAGATCGAAGTGTTATTCAAAAGCTTAAATATGGAACTACCCTATGCATTTAAAGAACGATTTCTTTCTCGTACGATCATTTATAATTCGTAACTGCTATAAAAGTAAGCGTTAAATGCACTTATTCCTCACATTCCGCTGGGATTCGCAAAAGGCTGCAAAGTCAAACAAACCTGAAAACAATTGTAATCTTGCAAAAAAACGTGCGCAGTCTATACCTTCTGTATGAATTATATCACTTTTGCTCAGAGCTCTGCGATGGTGAACGTTAATCCTTTTCCTCCACAAAAAGCACCGGCGGCGTGCGAGACATAAACACGCGCAGTTTTTTCCTCCTCGCTCCTAATACAGAAAGTAGCTCTAAAAGAATATAATACGGAGAATAGGAAAGCGTAAGAACAAAGAAAACATCCCGAAAAACAAAAAAGGGGGACGACACGAAGCAAAAGGAAAAGAAAGCCGGATCCCCGGAAAAGGGCTGACGCGGAGGAAGAACGTTCGGAGAGCCCAATTACGACCAGGAGCAACGGCGTTCCCGGATTTGGGAGATTTACGAGCTGAGATAAAATTTAATTCCTGGAGGCAAACGGAAGACAGTAATCGGATTCTAGACTCCGGAAAAGATGACAACTAATTCTGAAGAGGGTCTTCTGGATTTGCACCACCACCTCCCTTCTTTGAGTTCTCCCGCCTTACCCGGAGAGTCTAATTTGTAGTTCAGAGTTTGTGCACATCACCGAGGTAACGCGTACAACGTGCTTCAATGATTCACTCGCAGATACAGGAAAATTCCCCTTAAAAGAGGGTTGTACTATTTTATACTCTTGCAAGGTTACAGCAATTTTATATTCTTACAAAATTAATCAGCGACAGACCTATCGTTGATTAAAAAATACTTAGAGGAAATATAAAGTGCATTAGCTCGGAAGTGATAACCTAGGATGACATAATATTGTGAAATAAAAGGCCTCAAGGCTGGCTTGAAGCAGCCTGCTGGCATATTATTAGTGTGCTAATGCAATTCGGACTAATATTAAAAAGAATAGATTCGGAAGAAAACGGCAAGCGTGCTGAAGTCCATTACAAAACTGAATATATTTAGAACACGAATCGGTGAATCTTTAGATTATGGTAACTTGGCAATTCTTTTGCGAAACTTTGGCGACCAACCCTGCTACAGCAACCTGCTAGTTTGCTAGTTTTTTTTTTTTTTTTTTTTTTTTTTTTTTTTTTGACGCCATTTTGTTTTCACGAAGTAAAGGTTTTTTTTTAACTCAACATTTTTTCCAACAATCTGCTAGCCGAATTACGCTTATGCTAGAACTTTTATGGAACAAAAGTGCTTAATCATGACGAAGATTAGGTGCGAAATTGGGAGAAAGTGTAGAATCGCCCACTGCTTGCCGCGTTTTTAAGAATTCCAGATACACGGTATCCATGTACACGTCGACCTATTTTCACTTAAAAAAACATCCCAGAATTGCACAAAAATGGCATTGCGACACTCTTGACTTTATCCATGTACATATCGACCTATTTTCACTTAAAAAGTCAAAGAAAATTGACAAAAATCCAATTCTTCTTACTCTTGTAAAAAGCGCCAAACAAATGAGTGGACGATTCTGCACTTTAGCAGCGAAATTGTTTCTAAGTGCTTATTAGCTAAAATCCCCCATTGGAATTTTCCGGAAAATGTCACAGTACATGTTTCGTGATCTCTCATTTCTCTGAGAAAAAGTAATCTGTGATTCGAACTGTGTACTTCTCAGATTATTGCTAAAGTCCTAGATAGTAACCTTTATCGCCTTACCAAAATATCGCCAAACTACCTGTTACCATATTCTAAAAGATTAGCTCACGAATCTTAAAAATATAATATTGTTGCGTTTTTCTCTTCCTGACACCAGTTCGTACGGGGTTCATAGATTTGGAGTGAATAACGACGACACTTGATGAAGTATCGAAACGCACTTTATTTACTAATATTAATCAGATAGCTCCAAATCATTTTACAGTCGTCGAACTGTTATAAACACGCTGACACGTTCAGCGACACAGCCTTCACTTGTCACTTCACTTGTCTCTACCGTTATGGCCTGGCAGGCCATAACGGTAGAGACAGCTTCACTGCAAAGCACCAGAGTACAGCTTCCGACTCTGTTTGGTCTTCTCGGAACTCCACGTACTCTCGAGACTCTCCACGCGATGCATTCGATGATACCCAAGAATATAGCTCTCGTCTCAGCACAGTCTAAGACAAAACTCGACGACCAACTCGGCGCTAGACTTCGAGACACTCGCTCAGTGACTGACTATCAGCTCGCTAGACGAGGCACACACACTAACTGACTGCGAATCAGCAGGGTTTATATAGCTTGTGTTCGAGAACATTCTGGGCTAAACCGGTTAGAATTCGTTCCAGAAGGTTCTCCTACAGTTTATGGAATATCGCCAATTTTATCGCCAAATGTCGCCCAATGTGGCAACCCTAAAACTGCTTTGCGGGAAAGTCATCTTACCACGCCTGTACATTTCGTAACAATATGTACTTTACAAAATTATTCTAGCACAAAAAATTTTAATTTTCAGTAAGTAAAACTAGAAATTAAAAATTAAAGACTGGATATCTGTTACTATTTTGCTTAAGTGCTAAGATATTTTCATCACGGTAACATAGCATGCGAACATTTTATTTTAAAATTATATATAAAATATATATATAAAGCTTTGCAATATCGTATGTATATCAATATTTGCATCAATTTTATTTGAAGAAATACTTTGTTTAAGAATTTCGGAAATTACTGCCTTATGTCAGATGTCAACTAAAATAATCGATAACCTGTAAATCGATAAATTATCAAATAATATTGAGATAATCATTTCTACTGATGGAAAACTCTTTATGAGGTAAAATTTCACGGTTCATTAAAAATTCTTAGTCTTTCTAAAAATTATTTTTCAGTCGACTACAGGAAGAAATGCTGGGCTGCCCATAGACAAAATTAGCTATAAATCAGTTATAAAAAGTGTATGAATAATTTTCTCTTACAGACAACAAATATGCTTATAGAACAAAATAACATTCTCCACCCTACGTAGTTATTTCTTTACCAAGTTCAAAATCGCTTCATTTTAGTTATATAAATTCGGTCATGTTAAATCACAAGGCCTGGTGAATTAATATTCAAGATCACCATGCAGCAATTATTTTAAATTTTGCTTAAGCTTCATTTAGACACTGTCCTACCTACCCTTTGATCCAAGTCTCATATATTTGCTCAGACCAGAAAGTTTTGAAACTTAATGCACGAGCAAAACCGTTTAAAAACTAGTAAAGGTTAACAAGTGACGCCTTGTAGAATAAAGAACTGGCTTACTATTCGTAAGAGATATCCCAGATCTGTTTGGAAAGAGTTGTTCATTGACGAAAGGCTTCATCGCTTTCTCGAGGTTGGTAAATGCTCCCTTTATAGCGATCAGCTGAGGGTAACCCAGGTGTATCTTGTCCGGGATTTTATTTTAATAATTGTAAATTTCAAGGCAGGTCTCTTTAGCATTATAAAGTACGATGCGTACATAAAGATTTATAATGCTTATTTAGAAATTATTGTCGACAAAAAACAAAAAAAAAAATCGATCTTTTAGCTTGTAAATTCTTGGTTTACTTGTAAGCCATCCGGAATGGGAAAATAAAATGCGTTAAATTTAAAAAAACGTTTACTGTAATCAGAGCAATACCTTGCTGACATTTACGAAATAATTCTTATTGAAGTACCAATTACGTGAACATATTTTTGAGGATAGTTTAAGAAATTTAGTCAAAGATCACATCAGAATATACCTCCAGTTGATATAAAGGGATATGTAAAAATACTAGTTAAAATAATTTATTACAATATTTTGTTATTTAATATATTTTTATAAAGATACATCACTTTAAATTTTATTGATGTAAAGAGTGGAGAATTCTCTAGATCATGGTTTTTAAAAAGTTCAATCAGAAAAATACTGAGGCCCTATGTTTAAATAACGTGTAATTTAATTGCAAATAGATTAAAATAGTGGATATTAAGATTAATTTAAATTAGTTACTATAAAAAGTCAACATATTCATGCAATTTTTTCATTTCAAAACACATTTTCTTAAATTCACATCGCTTAGAAATATGCAAAGTTGTCGCGAAGACTGCAAAGCAAAAATTTAATATTTAATAAAAATAAATATATTAAACTTAGAAACTGCATTAAAAAAATGAAAAAGCAGGAAACTTTTTTACTGAAGTATACTTACCGCGATGTGGTAGTAAAAGGGACGACGATAAAAAACTCTTCTGTTTTCGAGGCCTTCCCTTTTGTCCAGGTGTTTTGACAATAGTCGTAACGGTCCTGGTAGGAAGATCGAGGCTACCATTCGTCCGCTGCTGGTGGAAGTTTGGAAACACTTCTAAACTACACGGTATTTGCAAATTAGAAGTCTGTTGGAAGTTCTGGCAACGAATGTGAGGACAGAGTCTTTCTTCGTCAAGCGCAGAGCTCGACTTCTCGCAGTTTGTCACATCTTCTTCTTCTTTCAAGCATGGCTGTGGACAGAGATATGGCCTTTCATACTGCAGTAGCATCTCGTAATGAACCTTACAATATATGATATCTTCTTTAAGTCCGAAGTATTCGCCTTTCGTTAAAGGCTTGTTACAAGTGGCGCACGTGAAACAATGTAAATGGTACACATGCTCTCTCGCACGCATGACCAGATCACTCGGGGAGATGGAAAGGTGGCACCTCGTGCATCGTTTAACGGAAAACATCCTAGAGATTAAAAAAAAAAAATTAAATATCATAAATATTCTATAAATTTTTATTGTTTCACGAATGCGTTTATTTTTTAATTCTATTAAATGGAAATAAAAAAAAAATTATGTAGGATTTCAAAACCAAAGACACCAAGAAATTTAATATTAAAATTTCCATAAAGTTTCTTCATTCAGATACACAGGATTTTAAGGATCATGGTCATCGTCAAATTATAACCACTGCTTCTTCCTTTCCCATTTCTACTGATAAAACTGTCCATGAATCACTCTCGGAATCAATTCACTTTAGGAAATGTGTTCCACTTTAAAGAACTGAAAGCATTCTTTCTATTTGACCTTATGGTATGGTGTAATAATTAGCATATTAAGCTAGTAAACTGAAAGTCTCTGGTTCGTTTCCCTGAGAGAGCACAGTTAGTTTTTCAAGATTTGCTTTCAGAAAATCTAACAGTTTTGTAGACTGTTCGAGATTTATTCGCTACTTCAAAGATTAAATTAGAAGCCCACCAAAATCTTGTTTCGATAATTCTCAGTTTTTGAGCCGAATCACAATCTCGGCTGAAGACGAGATTCAGTACTTGGCAGTGTAATTAAATCACAATATCACCATGAAATTCCGCTATTAATGTAATAATTCTTTTAATAATTAGTAAAATTACCACTAACATTAGCTGTTACATACATCAAAATCATCAAAACTTATTTCCATGATGAAATGTTCTGCGTGAGACATTTTGGAGGAAGGGTAGGCACAAGCTAAGCCAGCGCTTCTGCAGTACCATAGATGATTGAGGTATTGCTTAGCTAACTGTTAAGCTTCTGCCCTGATTTTGAGGTAGAATGCTTCTGCGAAGATCTCTTATGGACTGCTTCTAACGCCGTATAGAAGAATGAATGTCGCAGTAAGCTTATATTTTCACAGAAGTCATATTAAAACACTGACTGCCAAATAGTATTCCTGTAACACTAACTTATACAGAATAATAAATAAAAAGCGATTTTTGTGTTTACCGTCTGATTTTATGGTACGAATTAACGCTTTAATTATGAATTCTAGAAAACAAGTTTACGACAGTGGAAACAATATGAACGTAAATATAAGGGTGTAAAATTCCAAATAATTAATTTAAATGATCATGCAATTTGTTTTCAACGTTTAATTCGTCTAAAGAAAATTCGTTATAAGAAATTTTGATTATTTGAAAACAATTTAATTATTCCCGAACTTTCTTATATCAAGTGTCGATTACATTAATTTATTAGTTGTTGCCAATAAAACATTAGAATACATAGAAATTTCTGCATTAGAATATAGAGAAAATTTTTATAAATTCCACACTAAATCCTGACTTGCATTATGACTGGGGGGGGGGAAATCATTATTTGAATTTTCTCAGTCATTGTTGGGCTTAAGAGAAAGAATTTGCTCAAACTGACTGAAAATGAATCCTCATTTTATTCCAGTCAAGAGACAGAAGAAAGGGAAAAAACGTTACCCAGTTTACGAGTTCTTCGAGTACCGGAATATTCAGTCTATCGTTCGCTGAAAATTTACACTTCGGCCCATGTCCTACTTCATGATGAGTTTTAAGCCCTGCAGTTTGAGTAAAACTTTGTTTCTTCAGAAAAAATAAAAAACACTTCTCATCATAAATTGCATGCTTATAAAATGATACACTCCAATGAAGTTCAGCAGTAATCTTAAAGTAAAAAGAAAACTGCAGTTACAACGTTTGGGATACGCTGACGATTGGAGAAAAGAATCTACTCATTGTTTACTTGTTGCACAGATTTTCTCTGATATATCGCGATGAACTTCCAGGATAGGTTGAATTATTATAGAGAAATTCTACTGGGCCTAATCGTACTAATTATAACCAGCATCAGTGATGCTCCTTAAGAAGTGCGAAAATTCAAACGGAAAAATAAAAAGAAAGAAAGAAAGCTCAAAGAAGGAGGGGAAAAAATGATAAGAAGCGTGGAAGACTGAAATATGAATCAGGATAATTTTACGTGAATAAATCACAAATTCTTCTATATTACGTAAATAATTCGTAGAAAACTTTAAATGCGAATTTTCGACAAATCGCGGCCTATCAACAATGAGCACTGGTAGTTCAGACCGGGGTTCGAATCCCGGCAAACGAGCTGGCTGTATGAACGTTTTCGTGATTTTTCCCACGAGTAACAAGTGTACGAGCCAGTTCCCTTAGAAAGTCGGCTACGAAGGCATGCCTTCTCTTAGGCAAATGGCCCTCGAGTGCTTTGCCGTGGTTAAATAAACCAAACCAATCAAGGAGCTAGTTTGAACAGCAAAAATAACCGCCTTAACATTTCGCTATGCAAATATTACAGAGGCTTAGTTAGAAATGAAGGGTATACAACTACAAGAGACACAGGCACAAAAAGAAATGTTTATAAATTAATAAAAATAGTCGTAATAACAGTTCTTCTGAGAACTATAAACATAAAAGATAATCTCGTTAATTATTAATAAAATTGCATTTTGACAGTCATTTTAAGATATGCTTCGCCATGATTAAATAAACCAAACCAAACCTGAAGAGCTGCACTTTTTATGATTTACACTTAACGCTAAACATGCTAACTAAGGACATTTTTCATAGGATAAAATGAAATTTTGTACGCTAATCTACAAAATTAGCGATATCAGACAGTTGAAATTTTAGTTCTTTAATTAATCCGAATTTATATTACACGTCTAGCAATTCTTCGAAAGCTAATGAAAATCCGCAAGTTACACGTGTTGTTCCGAGTTAGCGAAATTCGAATCATAGTGGTTTATCTCAGCAGCTGAAAGTTAGCCATCCTCGCCTCTAATGACCGACCTATCGCGAGAAGTCAAACGATGCAAAATCTGTCGATACCTCTCGTAAATAATATTTAATGAAAAATGAAACAAGAACGAAAAAAGAATTAATCCTTTTCATTTTCCTATTTTCTTCATTGCGACCAAACAAATCACGACAGCTCGCCGATAAACCAAACTCCGGCAATGGCTCTGGGTTACCCAGTCACATATATCACTCCACCAACGACAAGGGCTGAGAGTTAATGTAGTGATTAATAAGCTAGAATTAATTTTTTGCCTCCGCGGGCAAAATAAAGGGGAAGTTACTTAGATGGGAAAAAAAGATGAGAAAAGAAAAAGAAAAGGAAATTGTCCCTAGCTAGTTGAAACATTAATCAAAGCTCCGATCTTTATCAGGAGAAATTTCTTGTCGTAAAGTCTGCTTTCTTTTGAGTGAAAAGAGAGACTAAATCATTAGGAACAAGTTTCAACGCCGAAATTTTGGCTCGTCAGGATTATTATTTATTTTTGCTTCTTTTGCTCGGAGACGCAATCTGTCGGAACAACTAAGCTGAAAGCATCTGGATGAGTTCCAAACAAAAATTATGATAGGACGGTTATTTAAATGTCACTTCGTTAGGTGGTCGCTCGAAGTGGGGATGGGTGTAACAATCGCCACGACTGTAAAGAGATGGATTACCGTGTCCCCACTGCAGACAAACATTTACAATGTTCTAGAAGCAAACGCTTCAAAAAGAATGCTTGTTTTAGCAGTTAATTATTTGTTTTACGTCTGAAGTCCGTTTATTTAAATCCTATAATGATATATAATCATACTGACAAGATGTAAGACCATTAAAGTAGTTAAAATGGAAGCCCAACTGGCTGTAAATGTTTCCATTTTCAAAATGCAGACTTTGCTAACTTTAATGCATTACCCCCCTAAAGTAATGTTTCTGATGTGCATCTCTATGTTCAGTATAAATCTCTAGAGAATATTTACAATAAGAAAGGAATTTTGCTTGCGATATGTAAATTACACTTAACATTGTCTTCTTTTTTATTTACGATTTTATTTCGTGCAGTGAAAATTATTTTCACATAAGGAATGTGAAATGAAGGAGACGAAAATTATTATGCGAAATATTACTTTTTACCAAATGTAAAGAAATTGGGAAATTTATATCACAGAAATAGCCCTAAAATAAGAGAGAAAAGTATCGGTGGAAAATAAAAGAATACCCCTTCAAAAAACAAGGTACCTCCTCATGCATAATAAAGCAGTTTGAACTAAAAAATTCAGAAGTGAACGTTTCTTACGACATTTGCTGAAGTAATGGAGGTTATTAACTAAGTTTTACGTTCAAAATTATCTTTTCATTTTAAAGAAATAATTTAAAAGAAATATTATACTTTGCCCCCCCCCAAATTGAAATTTTGTTCTTCTTGATAGGTTTGATAGGAACGAAAAAAATAAAAATAAAAATTTTTTAAAAATGCATAATCTTGCTTCACTTTTATTAAATTCCTAAACGTTACACATATTGATATAATTTTTGCTTGTATGTATATGTTACAATTTACATATAAATATTATATTACCAGTGATTCGTTTTATTGAATATGCTTTATCATCACTTCAAGATAAAAACTACTATTGGTCCTGCGAAAGTTAAAAAGTTATTTAGTTAAAGTTTAAGTTATTGGTTTTCAAGGTCTATGGTGACTTTTTTTTAATTCTCGAAATTTCATATTTTCTTATTATTCACAATCTACAAAAGCTTACATTAATTCTATAATCATATTTTAAAGATTATGCGTAAAAGAATTCGGTTTGAAATAATTTTTAACACTCTTCTTAAGCATTTAGTTTTCGCTTGGTGTGTTTCCTAATGTCCTCTCTCAGTAGTAGCTCGAGAACTAAAATGGAATAAATTTCGAATTTTTAATTAGCAATTCACTTAGCAGCAACGAAAAGGTCTAATAATAGATTTAAAATGCAGCGCATTCTTATCCCTTTCTTATCCATTCTTATCCCTTTGTCATAAACTGTCTTCCTGACAAGGCGCACGCTTTGAAAACTGTGTAAAACATCGAAAATGTTAATTGATTTTTAACTTTGCATTTGTTGCAATATTGCGTGTAATTTTATGGTTGTTGCTGAATTCCCGAAGACGCGTTTTTTTTCAAAAATTCCTTTTATCCAGTTAGTATTCGTTTTCGATGCCAACATAATTCAACAGATCAACAAGGTGCGTCATTTAGATTTAAAAAGATACTAAAAAGATTATTAATAGCAGAAGAAGTACCGCATGTGGCTCGGTGAAGTAGGAAATAGTATAATTTATTTATTTGATAACTCGGTTTTCATAATTAAATTACTTCGATCTATTTCTTCGTCAAATATATTACATTTCTTGCGAAGGAAATGCGGCTCTTGTTCGTCTAGCAAACTGAATAATAAATTCTTCCATCTCTAACATGCCACAATGGATTAAAATGATCATAACACACGCTTCTTATTCCAAGCACCGTAATGTTTTATTCCATTTTATGTATTTTTAATCTGGAGAAGGAAATCAATCGATTCCTTATATTTCCAAATTCAACACAGTATTCCTAAAGAGAGGAAGCAAAATTACATTACACACACACACACACACACACATATATATATATTACTGAAATAAATTAAATTTAAGAATTTAAAATAATGTTTTTCCAAAGAAAAGGTACTGGAACTAGGTTTTATTTTTCTTATACTTTTCATCTTCTGCTAAGAAAATGAAAAATGAATAGAGATGAAGTATACGAAATAGGAATTGCACTTAAATTGTACTATAGAACTATTTAAAACAAGAAACACAGAACTATTTAAACGGACGATTTCCCGGTTTGAGCCAAGACCGTTGTAAAACTGACAAACGAGGAAAGATTTACAATATTTCATCTCAGTGAAAGGTTTTAATAGTTCTCAGTGCCATTTTCTAAGACCCAAACAACGCTTTTTTGTAAAACATTTCAGAAAAAAAATTAAAGATAGAAAATAAATAATTAACCGTTAGAAAATAATAAAAAAGTCTTTCACTTAAAAATTTCGAAAAAATGAACCATAATATAATAGTAATTTTCATTTTTGGAAATATCAATAATTTTTCTAGGTTTCTTCACTTTAAAAACAAGTGATGTACCTGATAAGAAGTAACAAATAAAATTACATTAGCAAGAAGGATCTAGAATTTCTCCTGTAAGAATCGGATGTTAGTCATACGAAGAGAATTCGATAAAAGTATTAACATATTTTAATAGTAGCTTGACATTCTCTATCTACATTAAAATAAAAATCAATATAGCTAAGCTTCTACTCTTTATTGTTGGAGTCCTTTGCTCCAACAATAGTTTACCTTTACTCCTTGAAATAATATAACGTTATATAAAGCGACGTCGTAAGAGGAGTAAGACAATAAATCATATGTTGTATTTCTTAACAGTATGTTTGTATATTTCAACTGAAGAAGTAGAATCAAGGCAGAAGAGAAACACGCCAAAGTAAAACATAAAATTGGGCCCAGCAACAAGACTCCATTTATAACGAGGGCAAACAGGTACAGGTCCCTCTTTATCAGAGGCGAAGAAATTTGAGTAGATTTCTTTGCTCCTGATGAAGAGGCAGTTGTATCTGCTTGCCCTCAAAACCTAAAAATCTTGATTAAAATCTATGCCAAACACAAATTGTTACTTTGCCTAATTTTATGGAGAAGAAGAATCTTTATATTATGCTCTTCTTTGTGTATTAAAATGTAATTAAAAAAAGACACAAACAAGAAATACTTTTAATAATTTTTAAACTAAAATTTTTAAAAGGTAATAGATGATTATCATTCCAAAGAACGTTAGAGTGAAACGTAAATTAAATTGAGATGTTCAAACTATTTGAAGATTAAACGCAAATAAAATTGAGATTTCCAATGATTTGGAGACTTAAACGTAAATAAAATTGAGATGTTGAAACTTGTACTTCTGTTGTACGTGAAACATTTCTGGTCAACATGGCATCAAGAGACCATTACGATGTCAGAGAAGTAGAGTCTTCTTCGCTAGCATGCAATGTAACTAGATCTACTTAAGTGTTCATCTTTGCGGCTTCTCGAAAAAGACGTGAAGATGAACACAACAGGGAAAGGGTGTAAAAGATCCTTTTATTGAACACAATATTTTACAGACAGCAGGGAACTACGTGTTTACAGTCACAACCACTTGAGATGAGAAACGTAAAAGGTAACATAACGCTAAATTTAATACTACGAAAGACTACACAATTCAATTTCACCTAACATGTTGACTCAAAATCTACACCGGCAGGATAATAATTCGAGGGCAAGATTGCGAAGCCGATATTGAGAGTTAACAGCTGGTAAAAAGAACAACGCGTACTCACAGTACCGAAATCATTTTCTGACTAAACTTTTCGTACATCAGTTTAAATATACTCTTTCAGCCTAACTGATTTACTTACTGACGAGAGGAATAAGACAAGACAGAAAAGGCTTATTTTGCGGTTTTGCAGCTGAAGATGGGGGTTCGGTAAAACCATCGAAACTAGTCCTGTGAAAATTTTGATACTATAACGCTGATTTTTGTTGTTTGACTTCTGAATTAGTATTTGTTTGGCGTGTTAATGTGTCTAAATTAACATAACTATAAGTAAAAATAAATAAATCCCTACAAATGAACTATATTCAATAACTGGAGTGTCATACTTTCAGACGAATTCTAATAGCTAGGTAGTTGGATGTAATGCGTATTTTAGTCCATATATTTTCACTGAATCTAACGCTGTCAAACAGAAAATACTTTTAAAAAAATTATAAGGTATTTCTCCCGCTTTCCTAGCGTGCCTTCGTGGTGTAGTGGATCTGCACGCTGGGCCGGTATTCCAGAGGTCCGTGGTTCGATTCCCGGCGAAGGCGGTTGCTAATTTTTTAATTCTCCTGCTTCCAAAAAATATCTAATGTCTCTATAAATTAAAGGTACGTCTATCAGTGTCAGCATATCCAAGATGAATATTATTGCGTTATTAACTACTCTTAATGTCACAGAAATGATATCACTTCAACAAATTCGAGAATAGCGAGTTCGTTAATGGACAGTAATTATTCTGAACAATTTCTGTCACCTGAGGTAAACACTATCTAGTCGGTTTCGGAAACAATACGATATTAATGATACCTACCAGCTAAGCCTAGCAATACTTTAATTAATTGGCATAGTAAGCAAGCATATAGCCCAGAGTATTTCAGTTTAGTTCCTCAATATAATCTGGCATTTCGAGTGAAAAATCCAAGTAATAGTCAGCAACATACCTATCTGTTAAAAAAAAAAAAAAAAAAAAAATAGTTGCTACCATATGCTATATATTCTCTTGTAGTGCTGAAATATTTTACAATGGACATATATAAAAAAGGAAATAATGCAACAATAGTACTTATAGTAAGTACAAAATTCTTTATTTTCAAAGCAGTGCTTTATTTTCACTGCTATAGATATATGTGCTTTGATGTTATAAAACGACGTAAAATAATTTAGTGAGTTCTTTCATGGCGACTGCCTCTCTTAGATGAATGCTTATGAAATGAAACTAGTATTTCTTAGAATAGAATTGAGCATCGGTACTGAATACCGTCTAAGACAACCACCTTCAGGGAAGATCACAACCGATGGAACTGATCTTAAAATTCCCAATAATAACTATTGTAACTATGTAATTCATTGCGACTACTTCCTTGGATGAATACTTCTGAAACGAAAATAGTATTTCTTAGAATAGAATGGAGCATCGGTCCTGAATATTGTGTAAAACAACGATCTTCACAAGAGAACAAAAATGATGAATCGTGAGTGGTTATCCAGGAAGAATTTACTAAATTTATTTGCACAATCTTAAAAATAATAACAGCAATTTACCTGTAATAATCTTCTTTGCAGTAAATGTGCCCGTCCCTGGAGAAGCACGTCAACTCGGAATCTAGTTGCACTTTGCATTGACAGCACGTAAGGCAGGACACATGCCACTGCCTGTCCACTGCCAACAGGTAATATCTGTCACAGATACTACCCCCGCAACCCGCGCATCGGACAGGGGTTGTAGAAATTGACGGTCGGCCATTTACTGTACTCCTCGAATCTTCAGGGATATAACCCCCTTCGCCACCGCTGCTGCCGCATACAACTAACATGGTGCCACTGTCCAAGATATTCCGTCAAAATACAGGAGTCTTTACATTTCCACCATCTCCGTCTTCTTCGAAGAGAACCATTCTTGAATACTAATGATACCTCTGTGACATTTAAATTCTTTTGTATTAGTTGGCTGGAGGCAGTTCATAGTCTTAAGGATCTGGGGGAAGAAAAAAAAATGGTTTATTACTCAGATTTGTTCGAAAATAGATATTATTCTGAAAATTCGACTAAATTCTCGATGTAATATATGCATTGCGAAGAATTATGTTATCGCCTGAGTATTTTTAACTACTAGACATTTTTATAAAATTGGAAAATGATATTTTATGGGTCTAAAAGCGTATCTCTAAATTAATAAAAAAGGGAGTGAACTTAAAACAAACATAACACGTGTAATCTTCTCTCGTGATTTAACTCGCACTAAAGAATAGTTCAAAAGTGTTTATATGATTTCACAATTTTGCTTAATTGATTGGCATGGTAAATCCTCTCATACATTTACAAGATATGGTTAAAATCAGCGATTCTCAAATTACAATCTTCCTAAATTAAATTTTGTGGTCGTAAAAGCTTTTACATGAATATTTTGCGTCCATTTTAGGAATGATTTGCACGTCCTGGTTAAAGATCCGTTTCAGCACTGAATGGACTCTTCCTCTTCCACATGCGCAGTATTCGTATTTTTATTAATCATCATCCAATGCAGGAGCATTTGTTCGATGGCATGTCAAACTTTCGTGATCCTCGAGAGGGAATTGTAGTATATAGTGGCCTTGGGAAAATATATTGCGTAAAATAACAGAAATTATAAACCTCAAACGGTGCTTCGTAAAAAAATCAGTAAATAAGTAATGAAAACATACAATAAGCTATTTAATTTAATTGAATGAAGAACTAAATTATTTGAGAGCAATAGCTATTGACAGGGACTTTTCACCCAACATTATTAAAAAGAAGTTAAAAAATTCTCATCTCAACACACCAAAAGGCACACTCTTATTTTAGGAGATTATAAAAATTATGTTGTCATTCCCTTCTTTCCATCCATTAACTATAAAGTTGCACGTATTTTGCAGAAATCTAACTTTCGGGTCATTTATTCTCCCATCAATAAAATTCCGAGTTCCATACTCAAGGACCCCATTCCGTATATGAATTCCTGAGGTATTTACAGGATTCTTTGCCAGTGTGGTTTAATTTACATTGGCCAAACTAAGAAAGCCTTAAAATTTCGCGTCAAGGAGCATGGGGCATACGTTAAAAAAAAGGAAACACAGAAATCTTCTGTTGCCCAACGTTGTTGGTCCGAAAATTACGCTTTCAATTTTTCTGCTGCCAAAATTATTCAAAAAACCTCTTTCATTGGTGAACTGGATTTTCTTAAGGCATTTCACATTCAAAGAATCAAGTTCTAGTTAACGACCCTAATTCCAATCCATCTTTGCCTTCAGCCTTTAAAGAAATTATATTTTAGTTCTGGTTTCATCAACAGATGGCGCCAGTAGCTTATCTCCTGTCCAGTCTTTCTTATATTATCATTATATCTTATTTCGTTCATTTGCGCTTTTGCAGCTGAGGATGATGGTTTGGTAAAAACCATCGAAACTAGTCCTGTGAAATTTGAAAATATAACTCTGATTTTTGTTGCAAATTAATATTTGTTCGGTGTGTTATTGTATCTTAATACATTCAGCTGTTAAACTGAATGTAAAAGATCAGGCTGAGAGAATGTGTCATATGCTTGGCTTTTAACATGAACGAGTAATGTTACGGATATTTTACGAGACATACACGCACATTTAAATACCTTAAACTGGCATTTTATTTTGCGAAATGCTAATCACGTGAATTATTTTACAATTACATACTTATTCTGTAAACACCTTCCAATTGTGTTCAGAAAGTGTTTCGTTAATCTCGAAAGACATAAATTCATTGAGTGCAATCAGATATTATTTCTAAAATATACAAATGCGAAATTATAACTGACTTCTTAAATTTATTCGTACTCTCTGAGAATAATTACAGAAAATAAGGCTTCAAAAGAGATATTCAACTAATGAGAATGTTGTTTCTTCTTTTTCCTTATTTTCTTTGAAAGTTTGGTTGAAGAAAAAGGTTTTAATTCCATAATTATTGAGGGAATCGTGATCTTAAATTTAATTCCCTTAAAATAAAAATCAAATGTGAATAAGCATGCATATTTTTAATTTTTTTTTCCTCAAGCTACCGCTACCGCAGACGCTGAATTCTTTTATGTGGTTATGTTAATCTCAAAAAAATAACAGTAGAAGAATGCATTTTCTGAATATTTAATTTTTTTGAAAAAAAAAATGAGAAAAAATAAATTCGTCAAAGTGAACCTCATAAACATGTTACATTTAATTTTCTTTAAAGACCTAAAATGGGAATAATAGAAGAAACACCGTTTAGAAAAAAAAAATGACTTTTTTTTTTTTTACGTTACGAGCCATAAAAAAAATGTTCGAAACGCTCTTAATACAATTTTTTTCGTTGAAATGAATGTAATTTTTTATCGTCTTTGAGTTTAATCAGTTCTACAATGGCTTTCTCTCATTCTGTATATGAAATTAATGATTCTGTATATGAGATTAATAATTATGAGATTCTATATATGAAATTAAGTACAAACAAGAACAGCAATATGCTACAAAGAATATTATTAAAAAAGTTGTAACGCAGAATGAAGAAGTCCCTGTACACCTGACATGATAATGAAATGTGTTTAAAAATTACATCGTATTCTTTTTCCCATAACAGTAATCTTTAATATTTTAAACCCATCGCTCCAAAATTAGATAGCATTTGAAATTAAAATTAAACCGAAGTACATCAGCCCCGGTGACAGCTTTTATTAGATCAAAGATCGAAGGTCACGAAGATCAACCCGGGTGTCACAAAAGCGGGGCAGAAGAGTAAAATGAGATTTTAAAATTAAATTGAAGCACAGTAATGCCTTTTTCAGGGCTCTAAGCTAAGGGCCACTTGACCTATGAGCTGAGGGTCACTTGGAGCTAATCCCAAGTTACCAGTGTGAGGCAGTGTATTAAATGTAAATACATAAATAAATTAAAATAAAATCGAAGCACATCTATACCCGGCAAGGCTGCTGTTCACTAGTGCTTTTCAATGTCGAGGTTCCTACGGGGTGAGGTAAGGAATAAATTTATATAGATTTTTAGCACTCTGAGTGGTTGGGCGCTTTAGGTCTGCCTTTCTGCCCTTTAAGCAGCATTTGCTAATTAAATTTTTGTAATAAATTATTTAGTCTCTGTTTTCAATAGCTTTCATTCATTAAGATAATATTTAGATCACTAAAGCAAATATTTTTAAATAAAATGTTTTAAATAATAGTATAATATTTATCAAATGACAGAAAATCTCATGACCAAAGGCGATCATGCTACCCACAGGCAGTGGTGTAATAAGGGTATGCAAAGAATGTCGTCGCATAAGGGCCCGAAGGCTTAGAGGGCCCTTGAATGTCCTGCTGAACTACATTTATATGTTTAGACCTAAAAGGCGATGGATTCTTTTATAAATACTATATATCTATCTATCTATATATAATAGAATCTGTCTTCTTTTAAATTTCCAGGGTCCCTCTGCGTCATATGACACAGGGGGCTCTTGGAAGCAGACAAAAAACAAAACTGAATTCAGTGTTACATGCACCAAAACTTCAACTGAATACAAAACAGAAAAGCTATATGTTTTTATTTTGATTCCTTTCCAGAGGAGAGCTTTTACCGCCCAACCGTTTAGCGTCGGCGGCTGCCGTGCCGAAGGGTCCGGTTTCGAATCCCGGAGATGGGGAGGCATGGATGTTTATAGTGTCGGTGCGGCATGGCGGCAGTCTAAAGTCGGTGCGGCATGGCGGAGCCGAAAGTCCTCTCATGTGGTTTGGCAGAAAGGAAGATCTTCGGAACATAAGAATTAAAAAATGTACCAGAAAATATTTCGGCATGAAATCACTAAAGAAGGCGAAGTATCAGAAAATAGGCGACGAAAGGTCAGACAATATTCCAACCGCTCTTAGAAATTGTAATAAAATGAAAAAGGATCCATTCATCCGATTTTGGTCATTATCCTGAAATTCTTACAAAAGGATAAGAAAGGATTTATTTTAAATTTTGGCCTTTGTAGGCCAAAAGATACCGTTTTTCCCAAAATAAAGACAGCAGATTATTTTCTTCTGTTCATTATACAGTGATTAATAACTCCGTTTTAGAGACAGATTTTGCTTTGTTATTCACTTAAACTTAACAAAGATTACTGCGAACTATGTTGGTTAATTTCAAGTTCTCATCAAATCGCAAGCTGTATTGAAAAGAAAAATTGGGAAGCAAATGACTATATTGCTCAAATATGGAAAAAATCTGTAAAGATGAAATCAATTTCAGTTAATTTAAGATAGATTAAATCCAGATAACTTTAGTAAAAAGTAACAATGGTTACATACGTAGCTAATTTTTTACCTGATGTCAAATTATTGGAAGAATTATGACGTTGTAGAGACATTAAGTGTTTTTTGAAAGCAGGAGAGATGACAAATGAGAAAAGCCCTCGTCAGGACTCGAACCACGGACCTCTCGAATAGGCGCCGAGCGTGCTGATCACTACACCTGCCTACACTACGTAGGCATCCCAAGAAGGCGGGAGAAATAACCCTACGTACCCCCTTTTAGGGGACGACTGGAGGTTAGGGGATCCAATCACCAAGTTCTAGTGGTGGAGAATCATCATGCACCACCATTTTAGTTTGGGCGCCACTATAGAGACAGTAGTTTTTTTTTTTTTTTTTTTTTTTTTTTTTTTTTTTTTTTTAAAGCAGAAGAGATGAAAAATGAGCTATGCCCTCGCCGGGACCTGAAACACGGACCTCTCGATACGTGCAATAATGTGCTGACCACTACATCACAAAGGCATGCCAAGACGTCGGGGAGAAATACCTTACTACGTTATAAAAATGCTCTCAAGTACTGTTAAATATTTGAATTCTGCTACATAAAATGAGTCAACTGATTGTTTAAGTAGTATTTGTTTGAAAACAAAGCTTTTGGATGAAATTAAAAATTCTCTTTTTTATTTATTTCTACGAATATGGTGTACAAAGTAATCGTAATCACGAAAAAC